CAATTGTAGGGTGTTACCCAGGTGTTGGTTGCAATTGTAGGGTGTTACCCAGGTGTTGGTTGCAATTGTAGGGTGTTACCCAGGTGTTGGGTGTGATGTCTTGACCTCTTCTCGACTGATGCGTCGTGTGATGACTAACGGAATGTTTGGCAGCGTTTCCAATGACTCCGACCTGAAACTCAGTCCACTCTCCCTACCACACGGGACAAGTAAAAGTAAAATCAACTGTACATTAAGCGTATGTCATAGTGTTAATTACATTCAGAAGTGTTTATGGTGTCATACTACCACACGGGACAGGTAAAAGTAAAACCTGCTGTACTTTAAGCGTATGCCACAGTGCTAATTGTATTTAGAAGAGCTTACGGCGTCTTCGAAGTAACTGTGCGTGCGCAAAACACTCAGGTGCGTGCCACGAATGCTGGGAGGACTAAGGGGCTGTGGTGAGTGGTAAGTACAGACGCTAGCATATGAACGATGAAAGGGGGATGTCGGCTGCTGGGAGGGTCACTCTATGTGCATAAGCATACCATATAGAGTGCGAGATATTGTGGCGAAGATGGCTCGTATACCGATTGATTGGGCCAGATTTTACAATACGAGTGCGCCAAACGATCGTGCAGCTTATCCAACACGTGCACAATACTGCGGATGGCAATTGAACGTGCGAATAGTCTCCCATTACAAATTACGTAGCGCGATACAACTGCACCAGGGTACACAACAATATGCTCTGAAGATTCGATGAGGGCAACACCAGGTTGTAAACCACGGACGCCTTTCTTAAGCTCACAGGCGCCTACTCCATTTTGGGTGAGCCCAGACGTGGTGTGAACACACTGCGCATAGTGTGAGCGTGACTAGTAAGCGCAACCATCCACACACATGAAACTAAAGACCCATACTCACATACTCGCATCGAGAAACAATACCCCCCCCCTTTCCTACCCCAAAAACTAAAATCCTATACAGACCTGCTGTACCCGGAGTGCTGCCGGTCGCTCTGCCTGTCCACGTGCGCTGCGAGGCTCTGGTGGTGGTGGTGGTGGTGGTGGCCATGGGCAGAGTCAGGTAGTCCCGCCCATTTGACGCTGGGCAGTTGTCGTGCACTCTCCCCTTTGGCGCTGTGTGCTTCCCACGCGCTGCGCCCATCTGTGGCCCTGGTGCTATCGCGTGTGCTATCGCGTGTGCTATCGCGTGTGCTATCGCGTGTGCTATCGCGTGTGCTATCGCGTGTGCTATCGCGTGTGCTATCGCGTGTGCTATCGCGTGTGCTATCGCGTGTGCTGATGGTATCCAGCTCGTTGGGGCCGTATCCATGCGTGTGGGAGGAGCATATGGGCCTGTGATGGCGGGCCTTGTCGTCGTCGTATAGCACTGTGAGTACATACTCGTGGTCCCTGTCGCGTGGGGTGTCACTCTTACGGCTGTTACGGTCGCCGTTGCTCGCGTGCGCACTGGCGCCCGTCTGCGGACTGTGGGCACTGTCGAAGGTACGGGTAGGGCCATGGCCGGGGATTGTGCTAGTGCAGACACTGGGACTGCTATTGCTACTGCCGGTAATAGTAGTAGAGGTAGTAGTAGTAGTGGCAGTTCGAATACAACTATTACTATTAACACTGTCACTACTGCGCTTGCTACTTTTTTTACTACACCCCGTTTGGCCGGGGTTGTTCCGCCTACCACCACCAAGGCCTGTATGCACCTGCTTCCGACTGCTGCTACTACCATCTCCGTTCACAGTCGGCATGCAGTCCTCAGATTCCCAGTGCACAGACGGAGGAGACCCCTGCGTCTGTACCAGCAGCCCATACGCACCACCGCCACTGCCCAAACTCACTGTGTTATGCACACTATCTGAATCCGCAAACGAGCCTGACGCATGGTGGCGTGTGGAGTGGTTAGATCCCCTCGACCTGGATACATGTACAAGCATATGTACATGTTATTATATATGTATACATGTAGATATACATAATGTTATACATATACATATAAATGTACACAAATGTGCATATTACTATACTTATACATACACATGTACATATACAATTTTTTATACGTATACATATACATACGCATATGTACATATACATATTTTATACGTATACATGTCATTTAGGTAAACTCGGACGGTCAGAACCAGAACCCCTGGATATGCTGTGTGTTATATGTGGGTCCAGATAGTACTACATTTAACACTTGGGGTGCCCCAAAAACATAATTTAGTGAGTTTCATGTGTATGTTCTTTGTAGGTAGAATTGCGAATTGTGGTTATACAATTAGAACCGAAGTACGGAAGATATGTTGTGGACTCACACCTGAATTGACTATCATGGTACGGCACAACTGATGTCCATCTCAAGACTACTGTTGCTAATGCTTAGATCGCAAAGGTGTGTACAAGAATAAGAAAAGACATCACCATCTACCTCGGGGCTGGTGTTTTGGAAGTGAGTGTGGAATGACCTCATGCGAAAGAGCACACTATGCCTACGACATCAACGTACGTATGGGATAAGCTGATAGACTAATGAATCATTAGGCGAGATGGGATAAAAGTTGGATTGTTATAGTGGTAATATTAACGTACATATGGGATCAGCTGCTAGACTGTACTGAGATGAATCATCAGGCGAGATGGGATAAGAGTTGGATTGTTATAGTGGTAACATTAACGTAGGAATGGGATCAGCTGCTAGACTTGGATTGTTATAGTGGTAACATTGACGTACGTATGGGATCAGCTGCTAGACTAATTAATCATCAGGCGAGATGGGATAAGAGTTGGATTGTTATAGTGGTAACATTCACGTACGTATGGGATCAGCTGCTAGACTATACTGAGATGAATCATCAGGCGAGATGGGATAAGAGTTAGATTGTTATAGTGGTAACATTAACGTAGGTATGGGATCAGCTGCTAGACTAATTAATCATCAGGCGAGATGGGATAAGAGTTGGATTGCTATAGCGGTAGCGCACCCACGCCAACGCGGCCCTATGACTGGGTGAACTAACAACAACCAAATGCGTTGATGAGTGGCAAGACAAACGCACCCAGCTGCGAGGCATGCGCAGCTGAGAGTAGAGCCGCAAGGATACTATGGTGCACGAGACAATTGTTTCGACTAGTTAGCTATTTTTTATAGGGTTTAGGGTTTTAGGGGGGATCAGTGCGATATGTGCGCCGATTCGTACGGTGATGGCAAGCTAAATACTAGATCTGAATACTCACTATTAGAAACGGGTTCCTTCGAGCGATCAACTGGCCACAGACAGACGGACAGTTTCGGTTCTTGAATACAAAGATTAGACATGCGCGAAAAGTTATACAGCACAGACACTGGTTATACGTTTCGATGGATTGGAAATGCCCATGCGTCAGCCACGCTCTGGGGGTTTCTAGACATTAGGTATTCACCCACCCACTCGAATTATACTACTCTCTCTATATATATATAAATAATGTATA